GGGGGAAGCTTGGCTACCGCGGAACCAAGCTTCTGCCTCCTGCCCCCGCAGGGGAGAGCGGTGGGCGGGGGGGCTGAGTGGGACTGGGGGACGGGACCACGGCAGGGAGCTGCATGCCGCTCAGAATCGGCTCGCGTGCCATCTTTGGCATGCGTGCCGTAGGTTGCCGACCCCTGACCTAGACAGTTATTCCCCATTTTGTAGCTGTGCATTTGATTTTTGCTTCTTAAGTGTAGTACTTTGCACTTGTCTTTATTAAATTTAATCTTGTTCATTTCAGACACTCTCTAATTTGTCAAGATCTTTTTGAATTCTAAGCCTGTCCTCCAAAGTACTGGCAACCCCTCCCAGTTTGGTGTCATCTGCCAATTCTATAAGCATACTCTCCACTCCATTATCCAAGTTATTAATTAAAATATTGAATAGTAATGGACCCAGAACTGACCCTTGTAGGACCCCATTAGCTATACCCCACCAGTTTGACAACAAACCATTAATAACTACTGTTTGAATATGGTCTTTCAAGCAGTTGTGCACCCACCTCACAGTAATTTAATCTAGACCACATTTCCCCAGCTTGCTCATGAGAATGTCATGTGGGACTGTGTCAAAAGCCTTACTAAAATTAAGATATATCATGACTACTGCTCCCCCCCCCCAATCCACTAGGCTAGTAACCCTGTCACCGAAGGAAATTAGGTTGGTTTGGCATGATTTGTTCTTGATAAATCCATGCTGGCTATTCCTTATAACCTTATTCAGGGCTGGCTCCAGGCACCAGCGCAGCAAGCAGGTGGTTGGGGCGGCCAACGGAAAGGGGCGGCACGTCCGGCTCTTCGGCGGCAATTCAGCGGCGGGTCCCTCAGTCCCTCTTGGAGGAAAGGACCTGCTGCCGAATTGCCGCTGAAGAATGAAGCGGCGGCGGTAGAGCTGCCGCCGATCGTGGCTTTTTCTTTTCTTTCTTTTCCGCCGCTTGGGGCGGCAAAAATGCTAGAGCCGGCCCTGACCCTATTGCCTTCTTGGTAATTACAATCTGACTGTTTAATACTTGGAAAGATACTGGAACAAATTATCAAATTTAGGCTGACTGGGCTATAATTCCTTGGGGCCTTTTTGTTCCCCTTTCTAAAGGTATTATGTTTCCCTTCTCCAGTCCTCTGGGACCTCACCCTTCTTCCATGAGTGCTCAAAGAGAATCACTAATGGCTCCAAAATTCTTCAGCTAGTTCCTTAAGAGCCCTAGAATACATTTCATAAGGCCCTGCTGACTTGAATACATCCAACTTATCTAAATATTCTTTAACCTATTATTTCCCTACTGTGGCTTGTTCCTTCCCCCTGGTTGTTAATATTAGTTGTGTTGAGTATCTGGTTTTGGAACATCTTATTCAAATGGCTAGCACACAACAGGGATAGCAAGGTGCTCCAGGTAAACATGATAGCTGAATGCTTCTAATATGATGATCAGAAGAGAGGGGGTTAACTATGTTATTTAAGTGGTCATAATTAAACTTCAGAATTAATATCCCGAAGGTACTATTAGGTCAACTTAGTCTGGCTACAGACTCAATAAAGCAATAATATTTCTATTATACATGCTCACTTCTTACAGTTCATGTCACCCTGTAAACTATCACCATATTTAGTCATGTGAATGTTATCCCATAAGGGGTGTGGGAAGAGTCCCTGGTGGAGCCCTAACTGTTCCTTTCCACTGAAGTGTTAACATTATGGGGAACTGTACAGGAACTGATCTAGAAGGATTGCTGTGGAGTGAGGCAAAAGCCCTCCCCTGACTCCCTGTCCCTGGGGTGAGATACTGCTAATATGCCAACATACTCCTCTGCGATGATTAACCTCACTCTGCCTCAAGACAGCACTCCAGGGTAATTCATCTTTGGGGACAGACAATCACGCTCGTACAAATGTGTAGTCTAAACCCACATGGAATTTGAGCCTCATCAGATTCATAAAACAACAAGAGAAGTCACTTTTGCTGAAGTTTTGAGCCCCTCTCACCTTCACAGGATTTGCCAGCAGCATGACTTGGGTGATGGCAGCGGGTGCCTGGATGGGGTTGAATGGAGAAAGTTCTGTACCCGAGGGTGGCTGCAACTTCACTTTCATGGACTGCAAATGTGAAACAAAAGGAACCCTCAGGTACCGTGACCTGCACTGGGGTAACAAAGGATTTACGCACAGGCTGTGCGCCCAAGCTGTGTACATGAGCAAGTGTCCATTTGGGACGAGCAGGTGACACAGATAAGCTCGGTCTATACTGAGCATATAGTCATAGGCACATACCAAAATAAATCAACATGGAGATAATGCACTGGCCCGGAAAACCATGACAGCACCTTTCTAACACAGGGGCTCCTTGGAAAAATTTTAATACAGATTCCCTAGCCTAGCCAATGCAGATAGGACATAACCAAGCTCCAAGCTATAATCAGTCATCCAAAACTAGAGAGGGGAAAAGATCAAAAGCTCACATTGAAACCTCTCCCAGAGCACAGGGGAAAATATTAGCCCCTGAAACTGTCTCATTTTGTCCCTTCCCCTTTCTAACAACATGACCAGGAGCTACTTCCATTGGGGCTCTATGTCTTTCAATCCCCTTCTATAAACTGGACCCTCCCACTTGCTTTGTGTCTGCATTTTAGAAGCCAGCTTTCCTATTCTGTTGAACGACACCCTCTGATGTTGGTGGAGGAGAGATTTCAGAACATGGGATCATTGCCCCAGTGTGATCAGAAAAGACAAGAGGAAAAGCCTTGTTAGATCTTCTAGTTCAGGGGTGGGCAAACTTTTTGGCCCGAGGGCCACATTGGGTTTGCAAAACTGTATGGAGGGCTGGGTAGGAAAGGCTGTGCCTCCCCAAACAGCCTGGCCCCTGCCCCCTATCTCCCACCCCCTGACTGCCCCCCTCAGAATCCCCGACCCATCCAATCCCCCTGCTCCTTGTCCCCTAACCACCCCTTCCTGGGACCCCCTGCCCCTGACTGCCCCCCAGAACCCCACCCCCTATCCAACCCCCCCTGCTCTCTGTCCCCTGACTGCCCCGGCCCCTATCCACACCCCTGCCCCCTGACAGGCCTCCCACGCTTATCCAATCCTCTCCCCCCCATTCCCTGTCCCCTGACCGCCTCCCCCAGAAGCTCCGCTCCCATCCAACCGCCCCCTCCTTCCCATCCCCGGGGACCCTATGCCCCTTATCCAACCCTCCGGCCCCCTTACCATGCTGCTCAGAGCAGCATGTCTGGCCACCACGCCGCCCAGCTGGAGCCAGACACGCTGCCGCACTGCCCTGCAGGAGAGTGCGGTGTGGCACTCCAGAGTGCTGCCCGCTCGGCGGTGTGGCTGCTGGGAAGGGGTGACAGCAGGGGAGGGACCGGGGACTAGCCTCCCGGGCCGGGAGCTCAGGGGCCAGGCAGGATGGTCCCGCGGGTCGGATGTGGCCCGTGGGCCATAGTTTGCCCACCTCTGTTCTAGTTCATTTCTTGGCCAGGACAGGATTATTCCCTATTGTATATTTTCTGGTCGAATGCCCAGTTTAGTTTTAAATGTCCCTTTCAATGGAGTTTAAACCCACCATTTGGGAGTTTATTCCATTTGTTGATCACGTTGTCCGGAAGCTGAGGCTTTAACCCAATTACAGGGACATGGGTAGGTCCCAGCTACACCACAACCGTTAGCCAAGTTTTAGCAGTGTCCCTGACGCTGCTATGGTCGTGTAGGCGAGGCCAGAATAGAACCTTTTTCCAGGTGGTGTCAATAGGCCTTTTAAAGCTCAAACCCCTGAAGACTGAAGGATGAAGCTTAGCATGTGTGAACAGTCCTGCCACTGAGTTAACCCCAGCCCAGTGCATACACCAACATAAAGCTGAGCTGACCTTACCCTGCAGGGGGAACATGCTCTCTACCAGCAGTTTCTGTTGCTATGTGTTATTTAGGATATAGAGAGTCCATCTGTCCTCCCTTTCAGGGCTCTTTGGAAGCAGAAGGAGTAGAGGCCCAAGAAAAGCTCACACTGTAATGTCATGTCCGAGTCCCAGAGCTCACACCCATTGTTTCAAAGCAGAATCCCCATCTACCTTCAGGTCTGCGTGTCCCTACCTTTGGTACTGCAGCCTGCAGTACAATGTTCTTCACAGGAAGAGGTGCTGTGTTTAACATGGACACCACCACAACCAGCACGTCTGACCGCCCCGGTGGGCACTCCTTGGCAAAGTGTAAGAGGATCCTGAACCCGTTCTTGTCGTAGGCTGTCACAGGAAGAGCACGGCCTGGGGGTGGAGAGAAGGGGAAGAGAAACACAAGACTACATCTGTACTAGCATGATGCAGTTCAACACTGGAATCTCACTCCCTGGCATTTCTCTCCATGGCAGGAGCTTTCTCAGAGAACCAACAAGCTTTCCCCGGTTTCAGTCCCACTTCAGGAGCAAAATGTTTTGTGCTCTGAATGCAACAGAGCTGACAGAACAACCTACTTTATCCAAAGGCCAATCGCCTCCTCATCAGAACAGACACCCTGCGTGTCGCTCTCCTGCTTAGCCAGGGCTGGACTGGGCTTTGACATAGCCGGATGGTTTTTAGGTAAAACACAGTGGAGGTGTGTAAGGGCAGTAGCGCAGGCAAGAAGCACAGTTGGGTGTGTGTCAAGATGACAGCACTGCTACACAGTAGGGACCCTGGCTCAAAGCTAACCATGGTTTGCAGTGTCAGGAGTGAGGCTCTTAGCACCTGGGTTGAGTGGCATGTTGCAGTGTGGTGTTTCAGAGCACTCCAGCACTGTAAGTGGCAGCTCAGTCTCAGAGGCAACTGTCAGCTCAATTGTACACGTGCGGCAGTGTACAGAGAACACAGGAAGGGGATTCCAAGGAGAAACAGTAGTTTCAAATTAAGGGACTTAAAGACCTCTTAATTCTCTTGCTGGCTGGAAGAAGATGGCCATAAAACCCTGGCCTGAGACCCTACAATTTTTTGCACATATTGTGCTGTGGGGGCAGGTCCGGTCCAAATGAAAGAAAGTCCATTCCATGCTTAACTGCCAACAGCCCCATCCTTGGGAACCCGAAAGCTACAACCAGAACTAGTTGCATAGCCTCCCTAAATGCAATCTGTGCTAAGGGCTGGATTCTCCTCTCGGTTCCATCCCTGCAACCCCATAGACATGCTTCAGTGTTGTCTGGGTGCTACAGAGAGAATTTGGCCCTGTACCGCTAACTGACAGCGTCTGAGAGTAGGAGTATTGGAACAGCGACAGTCCAGGGTTGGGAGCAGGCTGAAAAGGGTCTGAGATACTTACTGGGTTTAATGGATTCCAGTGGAACATGGACATTGGCCAAAGAAGCGTCAGGCCCTTTCAGAGGGCTGCCCTGCTGTTGGAATGAAGCTGGCTGGTAGAGAGGGCTTCCTGAACCAGCCGTGCAGCTGCTTGGAAAAGGAACAGTAGAGGCCACTGGAGCAGCAACTGGCAATCCTGTGGTGGATATTAAAGGGGCAGAGGTGACAGTGGCTGGCAAGGTAACCCCAGGGTGGAATACCGAGGGCGCTGACTTCACTTGGGCTGAAGTCCTAGGAGGGAGACAAAAACAGAAGTGGCAAATTAAGAACTATATTGGCTAGCAGAAGTGGCAGTGACAGCACTGAGCGTGAAGCAGGCTTTCACTCCATCTCCCGCACTACTAGAAACAATGGCAAATCACTAAGAATATAAGAACGGCCGCACTGGGTCAGACCAAAGGTCCATCCAGCCCAGTATCCTGTCTGCCGACAGTGGCCAATGCCAGGTGCCCCAGAGGGAGTGAACCTAACAGGTAATGATCAAATGATCTCTCTCCATCAAGTGATCTAGAGTGAAAGCAGTGGCCTGCAATCGTACCGTGGTGTCATGACACTGTAAAGTTTTGTGTGCTGAGCAGTGTTGAGCTGGGTGAGTACTACACAGAAAACCACAATGTTTCAGGGAGTGGTGGTGATTTGGGAGGTGTCACTCCTCTCCAAATCAGCAATGAGCCAGTGCCTCAGCATTGTGCTGGGACCCAGTACTGCTGGAGGATGAGATGAAAACGAGGGTCCTGGTCACTTATGGTCATTTAAGGATCTCAGGGCACTTTTCACAAGAGTAGGCCCTGTTAGCCCCAGTGTTCTGGCCAACTTACCAATCTGCCTACCTAAACCATTGTGTAGTGTAGCTGTGCAGTGCAAAGCAGCTGCTGTGCTTCACCACCAAGCTGGCTGCATGTCAGTGGTGGGTCAGTGACCTTTGGGTATAGTTTGTATATCAGTTTGTAAAGTGCTTTGAGATCCTTCAAGAGGAGAGATGGTAAATAAATGTAAGACCATCACTATCCAACAGTAAACTTCCATCAAACGAGAGTGAGAAACAGGACATCCTTCTTGCAAACCTGATAGCTGTAGCAAGGGTAACTTTCAAACGGGAGAGAGGAAGCAAAATCCAGGACTATTACCCTTTGGCCTCTTCAAGAAGATGTCCCAGTGCATCCATATTATGCAAAGCACTGCCTCCCATGGCTGAACTGAGGTACCGGGGGGTAGCTGGCATAGCCTTCGGCGGGCCCAGAGGGGCTGCTGGTACAGCAGAGAACAAGAACGGGGCTGTATTAGGTGCAGGGATATTAGAAACAGTCTGAGAGGCTGTGAAAGTGGAAGGCAGAGGCGCTGATGTTCCACACACAGACTGTGACGTGTGATGAAGAAGAGGGTTCACTGCAGTATTGCAGGCGACAGTCACCAGGTTCGGACTAAAGAAGTCCAGGTCCATCTGGTCATTCTGCAACAGAGGGGACAGGTGCATGCTATTAATTCCTGCCATGCCTTAGATACCACTATAACTCATTGAGATAAGCCTCACCCATTAGGACATGAGGGGGAGGAAGCTAATGGCAAGCAGGAGAGTATGTTGCATCTGTTGGACTACATCCAATTTGTAGTTTACTTGACAGCATATGGTGCTGTGCTGGACTGGATACTACTAGTGGACAGGAGCTAGGTGGGGAGGCAGAAGTTGAGGTGGCCATGTTTATTATGGGCATTTGGATGGGGATTCCTAAGGGCAGTATCCTAACAGAGCAGAGAAACTTACAATAGCCTATTCCTGGGGGAATTCTGTGCCACCGCGCATGCGCAGAAATGATGTCCCCTGCAGATTAATTTGCTTCCATGCAGAAAAATGACTTTCTGACAGGGAAACAAAGGGAAGCCACAAGAGCGGTCATGCGACCTTCCCCAGCAGTATGTTTTGGGTGCCCAGGGCAGCCAGCAGAGAGGTAAATCACATTGGGCAGGGAGCGGGACTGGGGAAGACCTGGCTGGTGGCTCCTACCCTGCGCTGGGCTCAGCTGCTAGTCCTGGCTGGGCTGGGAAGGATGGGACTTCCTCTTCCCCTGCACAGCATCCAGGGCCGTGTCAGACCCACCCCCATATTTCTCCCCCAGCTGTAGGAAGCTCTGCAAACTCCCCCTCCACCCCCTACCCCGTGCTTCCAGCACCCATCGCTCCTCAGCTGCAGGGGGAGGGATCCCTGTACAGGGAGCTGCTCCCCCATCTGCCCAACCCCCGTGCATTCAGACCCTCTCATACCCTGACCCTCCTGCTAAGCCTCACCACCCCCTGCCCCTAGGACCCCCCCGATGAGCCCCACTCCCCCTGCACCTGGACCACCCCAACCCGGATCCCCACTCTACCGAACCCCAACCAGCTGCACCAGGACCCCCCTCCCACTGAGCCCCTCACACCCAGACCCCTCTGCTGAGCTCTATCCCCCCCACACCAAACCCCCACCCCGCTGAGCCCCAACCACCTTCACCTGGACCCCCCTGCAGAGTCCCATTACCGTTGCACCCAAAATCACCAACAAGACCCTGTGCATCCAGATCCCCCCCCGCACCCGGATCCCTCACTGAGCCGCCCACACCCAGATTGCCCCACACAGAATCCTCTCAAACCGCACCTGGATCCCCGCACACTAAGCCCCTCCACACTTGGATCCTGCCTTGCTGAGTCTCCCTGTGCACACCTGGTGCACCTGGCACCAAGGGACAGGGCCCTGGGGTGTTTCTGTGGCAGGCCCGGTCCTTGCGCTGTGTCAGGGTTGAGTGCAGCCTCACTGCTGAGTCCGTGTCCCAGCGGTGGGGGGGAGAGGGGGAGCCGGAGCTGCACAGTGATCTCCCACCTCTGGGCAGCCAGTGGCCTGTGCTCCCCAATGCCACGCTGGAGCCTCCACATTTATTTGACAAATAAAATTTGCAGAATTTTGCAGAATTTTAAAATATTGTATGCAGAATTTTTATCTTTTTGGCGCAAAATTTTTAATTTTTTGGCAGAGAATGCCCTCAGGAGTAAATAGCCAGAGCAGAGGAGAGAGAAGATGGACAGTACATTTCAGTGCAGCAACAACTGAAAGGTGCTACCTCTTCATTCAGTAGTCCCAGTGTCCTGGGACGATGGACTCTGCCTTTGGCCTCCGAGTGTATTCAGTCCAGAATACAACTATTCCTTTGCAAACTGGGTGCATCCCTTGTGGTTCTATTCAGTCTAGACTTACTGACATCCTCCCCATGTGAGAGGGTAGCTTTGGTATCAAGCTTTGTTGAGATACACACCAAAAAGCAGCACATACAAAGAAGGAAAGTGAAAGCAGAGATATCTTCTCTGTACTGGTTCAGATATCCCAGTTACACAAGGCCAGAGGCAAGAACACAGGTCTTCACGTCTGGAACAGTTATCGTCTCTGGCCTGCGTCTGAGCACTCCCCCAGGATATGGCAAAAGCACCACCACTGCAACATCGAGAGTGCTCAGAGACCTCACGCAACGACAGTCTCTCTCTCAACAAATCCCTCTCTTCATACCTGGAACATATTCCACTGGTTGTTTTCAATTGACTCTTTCACTGCACTGGGGGCTGGGTCATTCAAGCCTGAATGCAGAAGAAAAGATATGGAAACTGGAGTAAAAATTCTCAACATTAAAGTCAAGAGGCAATAAGAAGGGGAGCTAGATGGCTAGTTTTCCTAACCCCCTCCTACCTACTATAGGGTGTTTGACCACTGTGGTAAAACTACTCAGTTCAACTCTGTAACAGTTTGAAAGCCTGATGAAAGAGACATGCATGTTCCATGGCAATGATCAGCCACAGGCTCATAGATCTCATGCAGAAATGTCCTGCACACGCAGGCAAGCTTCTCCATGCAGCACTTCCAATGTTCCTCTTTCCTGACCTGTAGCATCCCCTGTTATTCAGTAACAGAGTCCCAAAGGCATGTACTGTGCAGGCTGCTGTAGGCAGATTTGCTAATGCACTTTCTCCTAACCACAGCACCCACTGCTATTTCAGTCCTGAAACTTGTAACGAAGTGTGGTGGTGGTTCTCTGATGTGGACAAGCATCTGTAGGGATTAGACTGGGATTACAGCAAACTCACTGCATTTGTGACCTACCCCTGATTTCAGGAGGAGCCTCCAGAGGTTTTAACTTTAGCCTACTGCCAAATTCCCATTTGCAGGGCCACTCAGTGGAGGGAGCTCTTTAGGTGTCCATTGGATGACGACATCCAAAACAAACCAGAATAATAAACTACAGAATTGGCAATCTATGGCTAGTACTAATACATTGTTCTCTGCTGCCCAGCTCTAGAACCAAGCTCCATGATAAAACCCTTTCCCCAGAACACACCCTAGCCACACCAGCCTCTTACCTAAACACAGCAGCTCCTCATCCAGCAAGAAGAGGGAATTAGCCGTGCTGCTCTGATGAGTCAGAGGAGCTTCTACTTGGCTGGAGGACCGGCTCCGTGAGTGACCAAACTTTTGAGGAGGAGGTGGGAGGATGGGGATTTCTGATGAAGCTTGTGTCGGCACTAGCGCTGGTGCTGGCGTTAGTGTTGCAAGTGGCATTGGTGGTGGTGGGGTGCTGGAGACGTCCATGCCAGCAAGGTCAATGAGCGCACTGAGATTACTGGTGGGATCGCTCCCTGCAGAGATGGGGAGAAAAGTTATAAGAGGGACTGCAGTCAGCTGGAGCAAAGGCTCTGAACAATGTGAAGACAATATCCAGGGCCAAGTTACCGCAGATGATGCTTTGGGTAAGGGGGTTTCTCTTTTAATCAGAATTTCTGACTCTTCAGAAGAGAGGGAACCTAGATGCTTTCCACTGGAGTATTTGCTGTTAAACTGCTATTGAGCTGGACACGATATAGTTAGGAAACTTCTGTATAAAAAGATGAGCCCAATCCAGCCACTGCTCTCTCCACTGCATGTACTATGTGTAGTGTAGTTGGCAATCCTTTCCAGGCCTGCATAGCTCTGGCTAGAACTTGGGAGACCCAGTGTGGTGACAATAGGCAGCACAGGTTGCAGTCAATCAAGGCGTTACTAGCGAGCCAAAGAGAACTACAGGCTTTCTCTGTGTCCAGAGCCCCCTTCAATTTCATCACAACCAAATTCTGGCTCTTCCCTATGACAAGGGACACCATTCTGTACAACGATCGTTTCCCTCATGTTTTTCATCCAAGAATCTTAAAAGTGTTTTCCAAACAATAATTATGCCTCATGGCACCCCAGAGAAGTGGGTAGTGTTAGTCCCATTTTCCAGATGGGGAAACTGAGGCAGGTAGTGGATGCTAAGGGACTTGCCTAAATTCACACACTGAGTTGCTGGCAGAGCCAGAAACAGAACCCACATCCCTTGACTCGCAGGCCCCTGCTCCAATCCCTTAGATAATGCTCCCAACCTTACATTTAAGCACAGAGAACAAGATAAACATTAAATGTATGTTAACTTCTCCCCTGCTGGTATTTAACCCTTCAGGTGGGGCCAGGACGGTTGAATAATCTAACTAAAATGTTGCATTCCACATCAACTGTTAGTAATCCAGACAGGAAAGCCCAGCTCAGATGCAGGTCTGCTTAGTCAGAACGTCACAAGTCATAAGGTTTCATTATTAAAAAGCCAGCAGTGGAAATGGCGGAGCCTTCCAAGTCAAAGCATTGTCACCGGTCGCCAGAATTATAAACTCATCCATGTGTCCATCAATGGCTGCTGTTTGGGAGATGATTTGTCATTCCTACCTGGACGGGTTTTAGCCCAAACAGCTGATAATACTGTCCTTTACTGCAATTACTTGGACACCCTTCACAAGAGGAAATTCAAAATGACAGGATTCAAAACTGAACAGAACAGATGGCTACTCACCTTCTGTTGCAGACAGTGTCGGGATATCCACTTCACCATTGATGACTTGACCCTCGATTATTTTTTTATAGGAATTTATTATCCGGGATAAATTGTCACTGGCCTGCAGAATATCCCCTAGATGTGGGAGAGAGGGAAAAACTCCAGTAGAGATTTCAGTCACTTGGCTCTCTCTACTGCTTTGGACGCTCAATAATCATCATCAACAACAATCCATTATTTAGACTGCAAGCTCTTTAGGGCAGGGCCTGTCTGTGCAGCGCCTCACACAACGGGGCCCCATTCTCAACTGGCCCTGAGGCACTGCCGTAATAAATAATAACTCCTCAGCGATTAGCTCCCATAGGGACATCTCCCCTCCTCTGAGAGCCGTATCCCCCTACTTTGTGTTCCCTGAGATTGTTTCCCACACAGCCTCCCTCCCTACCAATTCTTACTGCCAGGGCCCTGCTCTAATTTAGATCATAAGCTTTAAGGGCCTTGGGTTTTTATCAGCCTGTTAGAGGCCGGACACATCCATGGAGGCACAGAAAGAAGTAACGTAACATTAATAGCCCTCTTGCTGTATCCCTGCACAGCTGCTGGCCACACCAGCCTGGCTGCAATCTCCTTCTTAAGCCATATACCCTCCCCACCAAAAAGGGGAAATGGTTGTTTTACCCAAACTGCTGTCGTTATCCTCTGTTTCACTGGCCAGTTTGAATAACGTCCGTCTTTTGGTTTCACACCTTTCGTAGAGCTCCTGGGAAGAGAGATCAGGAGAAAGGGTCTTATCAGCCAAAAGCCATCGACAGCAACAAACCCTGCTCTTGCAGTCAGCATGAAATGATTCATCTGCATGGAAGTCCCAGTATGAAGGGAGACCCAGAGTCTTTTCTTGATGCGAGTGCTGGTCCAACTGGGTGTCCAAATTCCCCTTTCCCAGCTCTATAGGGAGCTATTCACCTTTTTATCAGCATAAGGAGACCAAGTCCGATCTCCATTCTCATTATACTAAAGATGAATATCAGCCAGTGGTATGCTATGTACACAAGGCGCGCACTACATGCCCAGCTGGCTGTGCGTTGTCCAACTGGTGGCCCACAGGACGATTCTGTCCAGCCCCGAAGGGGGATGCCATTTTGTAAATCTTGCTGTACTTGGAAGGTCATGCTGCATGGAAGACACCATTTTGGACCACGTAAGGCATGCAAGTGAGTTGTTGCATGTCTTACTACAAATGTCACGGCCTGCCACTGATACCATCAGTCCTCCATGCTATCGCCATTGATGCTTAATTCTCTTTATACTCCACATGCTGGACTATTTTTATCATCATCTCTGTTACAGTAGCTCCTTACGACCCCAAATGAGGATGGGGTCCCATTGTGCTAGGTCCTGTACACTCCCTGCCCCAAAGAGCCTCCGATCTAATTGGGAGAACGGAAGTATCGTCATCCCCATTTTACAGATGGGGAACTGGGCACAAGGAAACCACATGACTTGCTCAAAGTCAGAGCTGGGAACTGAATCCAGATCTCCTTAGTCCCAGTTCAGTGCCATAACCAAAATTCCTGTCTTCAGTCCAGGGAATGGTCCATGAGCACACAGGTCACTACCTCCACTCTGGTGGAGATGGGTTCAAGGAAGGGCAAGTTTCTGAATTAGTTGTTGTTTTTTATCATCACCTCAGGTGCTCGATTGGTCCCTTTTGGTTATTATTTTCTTGGTGCTCTCTCCATTAAATACAGTGTCTACAAGCTCTTCCCCTGAAGGGAAGGAAACCTTTGTTGTTTGGATAAAAGATTTTAAGTTTATTTGAATATGGTGCTTTGGGAGATGACTATTTCCACCACAAGCAGCATGGCCAGTGGCACTGGGAATCAGAAAATGTGGCTTCCTGATTCTGCCACTGACACACTGTGTGATCTCAGCAAGTCATGCATTCCTGGTGCCCTCACTTTCACCACCTGTAAATAGAGATAGTGCCTGCTTCTTTACAAGGAATTTTGAGTCCTTCAGCTGAAAAGTGTTAAGTGCATAGTATTATCACCTCCAGCTGATCGTTCCCATAGATTGCTCTCAGCTCTGATCGCTGCTCTTTATATCATTGATCACTTTGTTCTGCATATTTGCAACTTTGTGCAAAGGTAAAGCTCCATAAAGTCTGGAAGAAGGAAATGCTGAAGGACTCCTATGCAGAGGAATGAGCTTGTACTCACCTTCATGAGCTCCTTATCAGCCTCTGACGAGTCCTCTTTGCTGTAGTGAACCAGCATCTCATTCAGCAGCTTCACGTTGTTATTCACTTCCTCTAGAGTGTGCATGCGTTTTGTCACCTTCTGGATCCGAGCCTCATCCTTCAAGGTTTGAAACAAAAAGAGAAGAGTATCAGAGGGGTAGTTGTGTTAGTCTGGATCTGTAAAAAGCAACAGAGAGTCCTGTGGCACCTTTAAGACTAACAGATGTATCGGAGCATAAGCTTTCGTGGGTGAATGTCCACTCCATCCGACGAAGTGGGCATTCACCGAAAAAGAGAAGAGTGAGTCTTCCCACAGATCTCAACAGCAGGAGCTCAGCTGTGAGTTACATCAGATGAAATGCTGATGTGTTTTTGAAATAGAGCTGGGCAGGAACTAGATTTTCTATTTTGCTGGAAATTCTGAAATTTCAAAAAAAAAAACTTCCATTCTGACACAGAACAAAACCAAAAAAGTTCAAAACTTCTCGTGAAAGAAATTTAAAAACAAAATTGTTTTGGGTGAACTGAAATGCTTTGTTCCAATAAAATTGAAATGTTTTGTTCTAATTTTAACTTTTTAAAATGTTATATTACACAATATAAAATTTTTAAAAAGTAAACAAAAAGGCATTTCAAAATAGAAAATCAAATCATTCTGTTCTGAAGAGTTAGAACTGGAATATTGGAATGCTCCGTTCTGTTTTTTCCCTAAACAAAATTTTGTTGAAATCAACACGTTTCCGCAAAAGGATTCACTTTCAACAAAAGGACATTTTCCATTCCAAAAACATTCTGTCAGAAAATTTCTAACCCATTCTAATTAGGCATCCATGCTCTCCACCAAAGATAAGGGAGACCCCCCTCCAATGTGATGCCTAGAGTTGCATGGAGGCAGGGCTAATTTATATAGAAAAGAGATTCCAGTGACTTGTATTCTCTCCAAATTAGAAACTGTATTTCTCCTTGCCAGAACAACACTGGGTCACTTGAACCCCATGACACCTGAATACTGGAGTGGATGGACACATCACAATTTCATTAATAGGTAGGGTGGGATATATATGTGCATGTAGACAACTTGCGATAAGTGCCAGATTGACAACCCTAGAGACAGTCCTCTATATCCACAGATCAGATCCTACAAAGACAGCAGCACTTCAAGCTTCTCCCTCACCAATCCCTGATGCAGAGTGCCCACTTGAGGGGTGAGAAGGTAGTTCATTCCCCATGGTCCATTTGATCCTTGCCCTTTCTGCTATATCTTCCAACTAGGGAACCAACTATAGAGGTTTTGTGATGCAAACACCTGTTAACTGGGACCCAGAGTGAGACTCACCAACAAATTCATTTCACACAGCCCACCCAACAGCCACTGGATGATATCAACTTTCAGTTACTACAGACTGGATGTGAACTGGCAACCCTAAAGGTGAAAGGTTCTAGACCTCATTGCTAATTCCCTTGAGTCATTCAGTCCCTAAAGCTTCAAGCACAGATGAGCAGGCCGGTTTAAATAGTTGAACTAGTGCAATACTAATGGAGAGTGAAAGAACAAATCCAGCGATTCCGCCATTCACGAGTCACTAAAGCTATGTACCAGCTAGTGTTAAAAAGTTTACAAATGACAAAGCAAGCCCCTGATAATGATAATTCCTACAGGGGTTTCCTTAAATAATTCTATTGCTTTTTCTTACCTCTTTTACCATTGATTTAATAAGCTTGTTCGCCTCTTGTAAGTCATCTGGGTTTTTGCTTTTTAACAGTTTGGCTAAAAGCTGTAAGAAGAGAAGAGAACTTTTTAGGAAAAAGTACTCTCTTATTAAAGGGAGGCAGAAAGATCATGTATCCAATGGTTGCTGCACTGGAGAAAGGGAAGTGGACAGTTCAGAGAAAGCAGACTTAGGTCAAAGCAGCTTACTTTGCTTTTTCAGCAACAGTAACTTCCGTAGGAGTCATTCATGGATTTGCTAGTTTGTTTTTTGTTAAATTGCCAGATTTTCATTCACATACAGTACAAGCACACTGGGATCTTGGAGACTTTCTGATACTAGACAAGAGTTCCTCCCGGTGCAGAAAGGTGAAAAGCTTTTCCTTTCCTCCATTACAGCAGTTGGAGAGCGACTTAACTAGAAATGGCCAGATAGTGACAACACTGAGATGGTCTCTCACTCAGGATTTCAACTCTGAGTCTCCAGGTGGTAAGAATCAAACCCACAGTCCGAGTGAAATCAGGCCCACATACCAGCAGATTAGAGCTGAGTCAGAACACTTCCTGTTACTTAAAGTTGTTTTGTTTTGTTGGTGGGTATTAAGATTCCAGCCTTCACTTTACCTTGGATTTCTCCTCATCATCAAACACAGGGTTTTTGGGGCGAGGTGGTGGAGAGGGGATCAGGGTTCTATCCACTGGAATTACAGGGTCACACATAACAATACCTGAGAGAAGAGAAAACAAAGAAGGTTTGTACCGGCAGTCACTCAGGACAGTGCTACTATCTGCATACAGGCAGCACAGAGAGGGTGCAGCGCTGCTGTTCGCATACTGGGTTCAGAGGGAACATGCAGCCCAGCTCTTTGAACACTGGGATGGAAGGATATTTCAGTGAGGATTAATACAGCAGCAAAATCCCTGTGCATGTTATCTGGTGAACTGAGGGATGTTTTCCTTAGGGAAAGGCCAACACTCCAAGGGTTAGTTTGCCACATCCTTACAGTTTCTGTACCCGACAAGTATAATCAATAGCGCTCCACTCTGGGTCTTTCTCCTTTCACATTGGCCTGGGAACCCCAATGTAAGGTCCCATGTAATCCTGCTTTGTGCAAACCCAAAGCCATGTATATCTTCAGCATGGGAGGCAGAGCAGACAAGCGGAGAACAATAATGCAGAATGTGGTATCCACAGACTCCTAGCCAATAGTTGGAGAAAGGATCAAGTTTCATGGCCAGGCCCCACCACAAAATCCTTAACTTTGCATTATACTCATAGAGGCTTCTGAAGGCAGACTCTCTGTGCTGAAGCTATGAGCGTCTCTTCTGAGCACTTTAGGCCTTGCCTATGTGAAAAAGTTGCACCAGTTTAAAGTGCAATTTTAAAGCAATTTAGTTATGCTGGTGCATGAGGCTGTGCGGATGTTCTCATTTTGGTTTAAACCAGGCTTGTTTAGTTTAAATTGATTAGGAATCAGCTTAAGCTAAATCAAGATAAGCCACTCAAACTAAAATAAAAGTGTCTACACAGGGGTTTGCACTAACTAAATCAGCTTAAAAACCAATTTAAGTTAAACCAGTGTAAAATTCTCATGTAGACAAGGTCTTTTCTACCATCTGATTGAACAAGTCCTGCCCCCAAATAGAGGCTGCCTTCTTGAGTGTCCCCTCTTTGTGACATTCCTGCTTAAACATGTAGGGTGCAAGAATGAGAAGCTGCTTCCCACCTTGTCTCTTCAGCATGTAGTAGGCATCTTTGATTTTGGATTCCTCTGGCAGTGCTACTGTCCAGCTGTACAGCAACTCAATAACTTTGGTTTTCACCTTCTCTGAGACTCTGTCTCCCAGGTACTGGGGGGGGGGGGGGGGGGGGAGAGAGAAAGGAAAACATGTCAATCTCTCTCTCGCTCTCTTTTCTTTGTAAAAAAAATAAATAAATAAACCAACACTCAATATGGGAATTCATTGGGTGCTCATTAAAGTCTGTTTTCACATTAGATCGGACTATGAATATCCTGTCTGTGCTGATCTGGGATACAGTTTCATAACACAGATGGCCAGGAGCACTCATCATTAACTACATTGATACAAGATGCAGTTCACCAAGACAAAAACTTCCCTCACCTCTTTAAAGTAACATTTACATTGTGTTTCATGATAAAACATCATCTTATCTCTATCTGCCTGAGACAACATGAGCCAAATTCAGTTTGGAGTTATACCACGGCTAAACGGGATGCTCTGGGCCCAATCCTCCCCACAGTGAAATCAGTAGGTGCTTTGCCAGTGACTTCAATGGAAGAAGGATCAAACTTCCTGTTAGTGTCCAGTTGCTTTTGTCTTAAGAAAATGATGGTGATGATAATACTTTGCACTGACATCATCTTTCACCAAAGAATCTCAAAATGCTTTCCAAACATGAATCAAGCCCCATAATATCCCTATAAGGTACATAAGTATTATCTGCCTGCCATACTGATGCACAGAGAGATTAAGCGACTTGTCTAAGACAACACAGCAAGTCAGTAGCAGACCCAGGAACCAAATCCAGGGGCCCCAACTTCTAGTCCCTTGCTCTAACCATTGAATCACAATTCCTCCCTGCTGATGATCATGTTTCAACAAAATGAGTAACACAAGGTCTAAAAGTCCTTGCACCACATTAAGGAAATGAGCAATGCTAAGTATTGCACAAGCAATGGGAAAACAACTGCTGCTTGCTGAGAGAACTAGTAATCAGAGTGCAAACACCCAGCAAACAAAAGCTACAGACTAATTCACACAGTGAGCCAGATACTGTGCTGCACGCTTTGGGAGCTACTTGTGGTTTTAGAAAGGCCAGACTGTTACACAGAGGTATAGAAAATAGCTTAAAGACTGACCTTTGGAGACACAACTTTTATTAACTCGTTTAAAAACCGAAACTTCCCTACTTCATTATGAAATCTTCTCCCACAGTTCTTCATACAAGCTTCCAGCACCTGTGTTCAAGCAATAGAAACAGGTGGTGAAATCAACACACCCCAAACCCAGAGAAATAACACAGCTGCTTTCCTTTAAGGGAGGCCCCAACTAGAACAGGTGACAGGTAAGGGTCACATTTCATTGAGATAGAGGAACTTCCGCCCAAGGACACAAGGCTTGAACCCCACTTCTTTGACTGTGAAGTTATCAAAACAGGCAGCTTCCCCAATCTCGACAGAGCACGCTGAGGAGCCATCTCCTGGAAAGTGGCAGAGGTGGGGGAAAAAAAACCTCCCTGAAGGTAACAAATAAAAGGATCTAGAGTGAAACTGAGATTTTCTGGCTCCAGTGCCATTAGTAAACTAACTCCATGCTTCAGTTACATGAGTCAAATATCCTTCTTTCTCAGTCTTCATCCCCTTGCAGAGAAGGAGAATTAAGGAGTTGACTGTGTCAGTTTCAGTGAGCATGGGAATGATGGTACTCGATAACCCCACTGAACAGTAGGTATCGCCCCCCCCTTAAATTCCACACTGAAGAGCCCAGCTTGGCTCTGGGCTTTGAGAGAGGAGGTAAGGACTACCTACTGTCAAGGCCTGGACTGCCTCCCATTCCTGAGGTGACTGGATTTTATGAGCCAGTAGTCTCACAGCTATCTGTGGACTGAAACAAACCAAGGTGCCACATTATAAATAAAACAGACACAGGGATTTTAGGACTTTCTAGACTTTCACAAAATCTTCTGATTAGACAAGTAGGGTATCACAAAATTAAAAGGAAATGTCACTTTGCCCTTCTATAGTTTGACATCTTCAAAGCACTTTAACAAAATAATCCTCACAGCATCTATGTAAACTGGGGTGTTTACACATTTAAAAAGGGAATATGGTCTAGTGCATATGGGCTGTGCACGGGACTGGTAACCAGGAATTCCTGAGATCTAATCCTGCTTCAATGAATGTTTCATGGTGTGGCCTTGAACCTTCTCTGTGCCTCATTTTGCTTCGTCTGCGGTAGAATAATACTTCCCTACTTTGCAGGAGTGCCATGACTCATGAGGGTTCGTTAGTTATTGTTTATAAAGTTTTTTAAAGATGTAACGCCTTATATCAACTTGTGAATGGCTTAGTCAGAATGGAGATCACTCAATATATACAAATTGCAGCAAGGGAGGTGTAGGTTGGACATTAGGAAAAACTTCCTAACTATCATGGTAGTTAAACACTGGAATAAATTGCCTTGGGAGGTTGTGGACTCTCTATCATTGGAGGTTAAGAGCAGGTTAGACAAACACCTGTCAGGGAGGGCCTAGATAAATACTTAGTCTTGCCCTGAGTGCAGGGGACTGAACTAGAACAACTCTTGAGGTCCCTTCCAGTCCTATGATTCTATGAAACAGTCTATGAAAATAAATGATAAGGATTATTATCCCCATTTTACAGACTGAGAAATTGAGGCAGAGAGGTTAGGAAAGATTACCAAGGCCAGAGAAGCAGTCAGTGTCAGAGGCAGGTTTAGAACTCATGTTTTCCTGGCACCCAATCCTGTGCTCAGATCATGTTGCTTTTCAAAGAAAAGAGGAAGAGCTTTGCTATATGCTTCCACATTACCCTGCTTCCTTTATGTTCATGTTTTCCTTGTAATATCAGCATACTTTACAAATATAAAACATCAACACCTGGACATAAATTTTTTTTTCAATTGAGAATGTTAAAATACGACACTAAGTCTGACGGACTTGGACACACACCCTTCAAGTTCTTTGTTGATCTGGTCACAGAACCCAATGATGTACTCCCAATCTTCTTGCCTGTTAGACGGGTTGGTGGCTTTATCTTTAGTAAAAAGAATAAAAATAGAGAACACACATTATCAAAACACAACAAGAAGCAGATTAATTGGCCTTTCCGAGGGAGAAGTGTCAATTGCCGCCCATCAAAACTGAGAAATGAGTTCACAGTTTCCATTCCCATATATCTGTGGGTGCTTAGTCAGGAAGGAGTGTCAAAGTCAAATCAGGCCACTCCAAAATTAGCAAAACACCTAACACAGTTCTTTGCAGAACCAGGCAATGAAGCTCAAGTACTTACAGATTCAGTATTTTCTAGTTACTGAACAGAAGAGAACAACCTCACAGTCTTACCCCAGCTAGGCAGGCTTGCAATGTTGTCTCTCTCCCCTTTGTCCATTTATAATATTGAACTACTTAGGGCCAGAGCCTTCAGTCCTGTTGTATGCAAATCTCCCTTTGCAGTCACTGGGAGTTTTGCATGTGTACAAATTGCAGGATCTGGGGTTTAACACAGTACATAGATCCTTTACCTTTGATGCCTTGTTCTTGGAACACCACAGAATTTATTAGCTGCCTTTGCATTTCTTACTGGAAATGAGATTCACAATCCAGTTTGCCAAACCCTTATTTTGGGATACTCCCTAGCTCACAGAGAAGCAGATTGCAGAATACTGAAGCTACTGAGATCTATTTTTGTTAAGAATGTATCTGCTCCAGATAGGTCAACTCAGAGACAGCAATGGGTTTTCAGTGGCAGAGGCTCCCGCTTCAACCTAATTCTACAGCAGAGCCAACTGAGGCATGATGTAGTAGAGCGGAAATTTGTTTGTTGCAGTTTTGCATGACCAATCCGGACTCTCTCCTTCTCCCAGTGACTAAGTTATCAACAGCAGGAATCAATACCAAGGGGAAAAAAATATGTTACAAATCCAGCTGAACTACAGCAAATCAAACCATAGTGAAAGGAGGTAAACGTGCATGTACCGTAGTCTTAAATGTAAATGTACAAGAATAAATTTAAGTGCACACTACACTACAAACTGTCATTAAATATCAGCATTAATTTCAAACACATCCTTCCACCGGGCCACTGGCATAAATACAACAATTGTCAAACGACTGCACTGAAACTTCTGTTTTGAAGTGCAGCCGAACCCTCTTGCTGTTGTATTCCTACAGTGTTTGCTTGGCTTTGCTTTCCCCAGAAAAATGCTCCCATAATCTCACAGGCCCCAATCTTGTGAGATGCTTCACATATGTGGACCCCTGTGCCCAGGTTGAGCCCCAGTGGCTTCTATGGGACACTGGGCGAGCAAAAGGGCACATACCACAAAGCTGCTTCCCTTGGTCTTTAAATTAAGCTACTGAGCTGTGTTTTAAACTCAAGAAAGTTTAGTTAAAAATGTAGTTGCTGCAGTGACACGTATTTGTTAAAAACACTAAAACCTTATTACCATGCCCTTAATTTCTAAATACCATGACAGCAGCATGAAAAACCGGGCTTACAAGACAGCCTGCTATCTTCATGCAAGCAAATCAGCATTCCGTATGGCTGAGTACCAAAGCACCCTTCCACTGCTAATGCCACCAGTTTGTGCTGCTCTTTGCACAATGCAGACTTAAGAAATATACAATGGGATGTTCCATTATTACAAAAAAACCAACTAATTCCGTTCAACCAATGGACATTTGGGTGGCAGCGCATTCTGACACCAGGAGGGAGATCTGGTGTGGGCAATGAAACATAAATGACATTTCCACGGTAGTCACTAATTTTAAAGCTGCTCTGCTTTTTAACTTGAATGACTTCTCCCAACATGTCTTGGAATCTCAGAGGGTTGAATATTCTCAGTTTAGGCTTGGAGACACCTCACAAGCCTTGTTGTTTTACATTCAGAACTCTCATGATAGTCCATTCCAACAAGAAGAGAGACGTCATTAGGGGGAGTTTACATTCCACATAAGGAAATCACCCTCTATAAATATCAATGTGATACCTGTATGATATCCTATTTCATAGATGTCAACATGCTCTATCAGAAATTCTGTCCTGGCCTGGAGAGTGAAGTCCTCTGTTTACAAAGCAGGTAAAGTGCAGGCAGCAGCAGAACAAGCTTCCTCACTTTGCCTCATTAATGTGCCTCAACCGTGATCTGGAAGGATCACCTCTAGGAGGAGAGATTTACCCCTCAGTGTTCTCAGTCCTTGGCCTCTCTGTTAATACTGCCAAACAAGGATCCAGATAGCACCTGTTGTGGAAGCAGGTTTCATGTGAACACTTGGTCTACTAGGACACAAACTAAAACTTATCAACTGATTACACATAGGGCCCTGAACAGCCCTCGGTAGATCTGAACCAGCACCTAGAGGAAAGGGCTCTATAACACTACCACAATCCCATCACCATCCAGTCCCGTGGCTTTTAGACACTGAAACATTTGGGTCACATCTGATGGTATAATAATGTTGTCTCATACCTGATCTGAGTGTCAAAGCCACTCAACATTCCTTTGCTGTTCTAAATCCTGAAACACTAATGAGGTGACACTCAGCTGTAAACCAAGGGTGCCTATTTCATTTATATAACAATGCTTTGGAACCCTGGGGAACAGAGAATTTTAATTGTCTAATAAATTATTCATATTTTCACTGTTTTACTTCTCTGCTGAAAGAAGGAAAATTTACAAGCCAACATTCTAGATGCCCATTACCAGATTGAGGGCTTGAATTGGGATCCTCAGCTCCTAGCAGCTATGTGTCTGGTGTTCTCACTCTCTCTGTATCCCAGGTAGAATAAGCAGAATGCTAACTGGTGATAACATGGAAATAGTTGATAGTATTTACACACACACAGATATAGTAGGCTTTATCTCTCTTCCCCCTCCCTCTTCTTAGATTATGAGCTCTCTGGGGCAGTACACTATATATTTACTATATGTGTGGACAGTGTCTAGCACATCATGGAGGTAACTATAATATAAATAAGCTACCTTGTATGTGAGCATCAGACTGAGCAGGGAGTGTTAAGCAAAAGGATCCAGCTGTATGGGAGCAACTGAGATTCATTTATTAACCTCCCCTTCCCATTTCAGCTAAGGCTGGAGGTGGAACCGCATGCAGGGAGAGGAAGAGCGCTGTCATCCCAGCAGCCAAAAGTGGGAGGGGAGAGAGGATAAATATGCTGGGTCATCACATATTGAAGCACATCTCCCGCTGCAGTGTGAGGACTGGAGGCTGCGACTCCCATCTGATGACAGAATGGCTCTGCTGCTCAGTTGAAGGGCAAGTGCCATTGATTCAGAAAATTCCTGGTAACACAAGTCATGTTCTGTCCTTTACTTGATGTGGGAGGTTGGTCCATACTGCTGTATGGATTTTGCCCCTTCCTTCAGTGAGGACACAATGGGTACATCCTCTAGCTTAGCATCTGACACAACACTCCTTTTTTTGATAGAAAGTTATCAGAAAAACAGTCTAAGTAATTCAGCTTCCTAGCCAAGTTTCCCACTCCCATAATCACACAATTACCACGAAGTAATGAAGAGTTATACAATGGCACACATTCCCCTCACCTTTATCCAACAGAACGGCCACAAGGCAACAGGTACCTCTCCTGTATATCTCCATTGTGACCTTTTCCTCCCAAAACTCCGCTTCCCTGAGGGAGGGAGTGTCATTTGGCAAAGACACCCGGACTCCCCCCACTAGCCCACATACATTTCTTCAATGGCCAATGGAAAACAAATTATGCTCCTCTACAATGGGAGGATTCTATAATCAGCCCAGCATGAGTCACTGTACCAGTGATCAAGCATAAACTTATTTTTTTAAATTAGGAAGCAACATTCAAGTCTCATATCTAGGCTTGACATATTCCATTTTCATTTTTGTTGATAATTTAGACGGATAATATTGATGTTCATTTTTAAGCTTTTCTATTTTTACTGATTTAAATGTGCACACCTATGGGAAATTATGGGGAGGATCAGACAATATGGGTCATCAGACAATAATTATTAAAAGACAGTAGACACTGCCATTCAAAAAGATAAAGCTTTAGAACTATTAAAATGCAAATTTTAAATATTACATGTCAAAATATACAAAGTAAATATCCTTAAATCAAACTCTATTCTGTTCTCAAGCAGTGTTTTTCTTACTTTGCCTCTCTGTACATTTCAATTACCATCCATGGAAATATTTTTGTCAGTTTATGCATGTGAGGTGAAATCGACATTTACCGATAAAAAAATGATCCTTTCAAGCGCACTTATGTCCCATGAAAAATGTGCCCTCCCCTCAGCCCCCAATCAGGCTCACCGAAGTTAGTGATATCCCTATCTAGTTGTAAGTGACCAAGCCATAGGACATCCACTCCCTCAACTTTTACAGTCTGAAAATTCAAACTGTTGGGAAGCTTTTCCTGCTACTCAACCTAAAATTTCCTTCATATTAGACATATTTTCATACATGATCTGTATTCCATTAATCAGTTCTCTTTGGGGAGAGAAAAAAAGAGAGACTGGGTGTTTCTGAGTATGTCACTGGCTACAATTAATACATTGCCAGAAAGATACTGACACATTGTGAGGAACTCACAAGATCAGCCAAAATGATCAGCAGGCAGGAAGAAATGATTTACAAGGAAAGACGAATAGCTAAAACAACTGACATAATTACAGAGATAGATGATAACATTCTACACCTATTTGAATAGTGTAAACACCATGGTGGAAGAGGAATTATTTAAGCTAATATATGGCGATACAACTAGGAGTAATAGATTTTAGATTGTAAACTCTATAGGGTAGGGACTATGTTCTGTTCTACATTTGTACAGTACTGGACCCTGGTTGGGGCTTTTAGGCCCACTGTAACACAAATAAATAAAGAAGTGGGATGGGATGAAATAAAGAAAGGGAAAAATCTAGGCAGTAAGATCTAGTAGCTTGTGGAGTAGTCTCCCTAAGGGAAGTGGTGCAAGCCCCAGACCTTGGAACATTTAAAAACAAATGATTACCATTATTATTATTTATTTATATTGCAGTAGCACCTAAGAGCCTCAGTCATGGAGCAGGACCGCATTGTGCTAGACGCCGTACAAACATGGGACAAAAAAAAAGTCAGATTGGACAGAATAACGTACAATTGGGAACTGTTCAGCACTCGCTGGGAGATGGACTAACCAAGACTTTTTCTACCTTAAACTTCCAGGATTCTGTGAATAGAGTGACTTGCCCTTAAAAATATGATTCCAAATATTGAAGCCTGTAACAGTTCCTGTTCTAAAATCTTTTTAAAAGACAAACTCTATTTATTTCATCTGAAGCCTGTAACTCCGACTGTGAAATGATAGCTCTGAATAAGGCAGGGGTTTCCCCCTGGTGTAACATGACTGCATAACATATCAGAGAGACAGGGTGGGTGAGGTTGTAGCTGTTGTAGCTCGAAAGCTTGTCTCTTTCACTAACAGAAGTTGGTCCAATAAAAGATATTACCTCACCCACCTTTTTTCTCGGATATCCTGGGACCAACATGGCTACAACAATACGTATTAGGTATGACTGATTTAATGGAGAAATTCCTATAGGTGTGGACTATGACAAATAGCACATTGTAATTGGCCAAGCGAAGAGAGGTCTGACATTCAATTTGATGGCATTTCTCTGTCATCTATCTATTACAATAACTTTGAATGGTGCACCTGATCTAGTCCAAAATTTCAGGGAATGTTCTAGGCATCAGTGGGCAGAATCCTATTGTTTCAGGTGAAAATCGGAAAACTGGAAGGAGGAAATGGTAGGCACATGGAGCTCCTTCCAGCTAGTCAAGAGACCCAGCTGCTTCAACCACCTCTGTCATTGTCTATAGATCCAAGAACTAGTTGATGACACCAATTAACACTTTCCAGAAAAACTATTTCCCCCATCTCATCTCTGTCCATCCTCCCAATAGAGTTTAACATGTTGACACCCTGAATGACTTCCCGTTCCCTCCCAGACAGAAATAATAATGGTGTGCGGAAGGGCAGTATAAAGGAACACACAGAGCTCCTCACATGGACGAGTAGGGGGAGCACACAGAGCATTTAGTATGGGAGGGCAGAATGGGGGAAGGGGACATAAAGACCATGGAAATTGGAGGGCCCACAGAATCCCTGCTACAGTGGAGAAAAATGGGGGACAATGGTCTGGGGGGAGTTGGGACAGACAGAGCTCCTGGCATGTGGCTGAGGGGGCAATGAGGGGGGACACAGAGCTTCTTGCATTGGAGAAGAAGGGGGCCCCAGTCATGGGGGGCAGAGGGAGCATGGGGATCTCTGGCATAGGAAGAATGGGGGAGCATGGGGGATCACACAGAACCCCTGGCAAGAGGAGGTTGCAGAGAATCCCTGAAATAGAGGCGGGTGGGAAAGCAGCACACAGGAAACCTGTGGAAGGGAATGGAGGAATGCAAGAAGCTCAGCCTACAAAAGCTACAAAGTGTGTGACCACCTAGTACAGTATACTTTGCAAATGAGACTCCAAAGCACAGGAAAATTTAGAGAAGAAGGGAATACTGACCTTTTATAGCCAAAGAACTGATCGTTTGGAGGAGGTGGGGAATGAGTAAAGAATTTCCCGGGTTCACAAATGAATCACCAAATAACAGGCCAGACCTGCTGTTGTGCCCACTGCAATTGCAGCTCTGGATTTCTGCTTCACTCATACAGTCACAATGAGCACATTGAACACTCATTTGGACAAGTTATTGGTGGGGATATTTTTGAGGGGAGAATTATTCCTCCAGTGTGAATACATAACAACCCATCTCCCCTTCCCCTCCCCCCCCAGCTCTGGCAGAGAGCCAGTCTACAGAGTAAGTTCCTCCTTGGTATTACCCCATAAGCAGGCAATCCCCTTCAGTGACAGGGATGGACTGCACAGTTGAGCAGAGAAGCGACAGGAAGTCAGTGGCAGGAAAGGGACAGGGAGTGAGTGACAGGGAGGCAGACAGAGAATGGGGAAGAAAGCCAGGCAGTGAGAGAGAGAACAAGCCAAAACTGAGTGGGGCGAGTAGGTGGAATAGCCGGCAGGCACTGGGAGAAGAGGGGACAGGCACAAGACAGGTCAAGTACATACTCAGAAATGATTAGAGACTTTTGATTTAAAAGCAATGAGGAAACACTGTGCATGACTCTAGGTGGGGGCAGGAAGGGGGGAAAAGGCAGCAGAGACAACATCAGGCTATTAGATAACCTGACAGGGACTCAGAAATGGGCAGTAAGGACAAACAGACACATGGGATAAAACCCCAAATGCACTAGAAAGCCCTATTCCAGGCAGATGCTTGGTACATTATTTATAAAACAACTAGCATGATAATACCTGCATAAATAATCATTTCCTTCTGCGAGAGATCAGAAGGCTCTGTCCATCTACACACAGAGAAAACACCTGTATAGCCAGCCCATCATGCTGCTAAGAGTTTTTTTTCATGCAAGTTGGTGGTGATGACAGAAAGTGGGTGCCAGGGGCACGGGCACAGAAGGGGAGAGGGAACTGGATAGGGAGTGGGAGGGCATGGAGTGGGCATGGGAGCATTAGACAGAGGAGGAGACATGAGCAGAGAAGCAGGGAATCATGGATATGGGGCAACAGGAACATGGCTAGGACGGGGGCCATAGAGAGGGGCACACAGGACCATGGATAGGACGGGGGGCCATAGATAGGACGGGGGACATAGAGAGG